CTTTAATATTATATATAAATAACATGTAAGTTCTTCCAGCAGAAAACCTCATCTTGTTGGTGGGATCGGTGGCAGGCAGTTGCTTTATCTTTGGCCTCGTGGTCGTTATCCTTGTATGTCACTACAAACAGAGACCAGCTGGTGAGACACACGTCAACCTTTATTTCTCATTCTGTCATTTGACTTCAGCCCCAGTTTCTGTTTGTGACACTTTGCTTTATCTGCTGATTGAAATCTACACCAGGCAACGACTCAGACGACCAGACGGTGTACGCTGTCATCACCGATGTTGCAGGAGCTCAGGAGGTATTTTGAGTTTCTGGTTTGCATATCGCTGGGTGTGGATTTTCTGCCTCTGCCTGCGTTTGAACGATTTTGTCTTTATTCCACTTTGTCCAGTGTGCACATTCAAACGACCAGAGGACATCGAGGAAGTGCTCGTTGTATGAAACCGTGGCTGAGCCCGCCAACGCAGTCAAACCGGGAGTGAGAGCAAAGGTTTCATCTTTGAGTTTCTTGCAGATAAATTCTGCTTTTATAAAGTTCTGTGAGCATCTTATTTACTGAAGAAACATGAAATGACTCCTGAAATCATTACATTTCTTTCTGTTGAGTAAATTCTTATATATATGACGTTATCGTTCTCTTTGCTGCTCATCCAGCCTAACACTGTGTACGACCAGATTCAGCTTGGTCGCATGAAGGAGGCCCCGGTGTGCTCCCACCAGGACCGGCAGGGGATCAAGACGTGAATGTTTAAAGTCCAGTTTTTTTAAACTTTCATTTTGGACCTGTGAGATTTTTGCACCTTTTGTTTAACAGGATTTTATCAAAGTATATTATTAGAAACAATGCATTACTATATCATTCCAAATCCAGAATAATTGAAATGCAACGTTACTGAAATTCAATCTGTGCTGTAAATTCTGTAAAAACAGAGAATATATTGTGCATTTTATTTGGATTGTGTACAAAGTTGGTTTTATTTCCTGTTTCCATGTACTTGTGTCTTTTAATGTTTTTTAAAGCTTTTATTTAATGAGTAACCAGTTTATTTCTGCAGTTTTTGCCGCCTGACTCGAGAATAAAGTATTTATAATCCACAATGTAGTGGCAGCACTAGATGTTTCAACATTATGTCATAGTTAATGACTATATTTGTTAATGACTCATTTTAAATAGGAAGTTTTTTTCCCCTGATCAACACCTACCTGCTCTCTCTCACTCTCTCTCTCTCTCTC